GTCCATGGGCTATGCATATAAATATATAAGTTCTTTGGTTTATCTCTTCTTGTCCCCCCAACCCCACATCGAAATATGTCAGTCTGTTCCATGCCTCCCTGCTTCGGGTCTTATTTTGTTGGTCAATTCATTGTGTTTATTAGATTCCACAATCTCTTTCTCTCTCTGTCTCTCTTCCTTCCTCCTTTCCTCTCTCTCTAAAAATCAATCAATAAATTTTTTTTTAAAAGGTAAGAAGGCGTCTGTGGCATTTTTGCCTGGATTGTACCCGTCTCTCCTTCTAGCTCCATCTGTGAGGAGTTCTACCATGATAGGACAAGCTGTGAGAACCAGTAGTTTCACTGCTGGAAGGAGCTGACTTGATTTGGAATGAAACATGGAAAATCTTTTGCCCCTGGATGTTTTCAGAAGTACTAGTGCTCTCAGTGACAAACAAATGGGGAAGGCCAAGATCTCTGCCTGCCTAAGGTTGTAATTTTGGATAGGGGAAGCAATAACCCAGCAGAGTACTCAGAGAATTAACAGAGATCCAGAAAACATGACAGTAGTTATGGGCCTTCATAAGATCCGTACATATCCATTATGATCTGGAAGGCTATGGATGTACACAAGGCTGCATTCACACTCAGGAGGGAATAGAGAGGGCCCTAGCTATTCATACGTTCCTGGCCGAAATGAGGCCTTAGGCATGTGCAGATGAGACACAAGAGGGTCCAACATAAATAAGAGCCTCAAAAGGCTTATAAAATACCTAAACTTCGAAAATGTTTCCCAACTGACATAGACCCATCATCAAAAAGTGGAAATTTTGTCTTAAGCTGGTTTGGCTCAGTGGATAGAGCATCAGCCTGCAAACTGAAGGGTCCCAGGTTCGATTGCAGTCAAGGGCACATGCCTGGGTTGCGGGCTCGATCCCCAGTAAGGGGTATGCAGGAGGCAGCCAATCAATGATTCTCTCTTATCATTGATGTTTCTATCTCTCTCACCCTCTCTCTTCCTCTCTGAAATCAATACAAATATATTTTTTTAAAAAAAGTGGAAATTTTTCTGGCCCAAAATGTTGGAGCATTGATGTAATTAGCAGGCAAAACTTCAAAGATGATGCTATAAATATGTGCAAAGAAATAAAGGAAATCATGTTTAAGGAAAAGAATAATAACTAACTTGACAAATAGAAAATATCAACAAAGAGATAGAAATTTGAAAAATAAAACAACTAGAAATTCTGGAGTTGAAAATACAGTAAGTGAAATGAAAAATTCTCTAGATGAAATTAATCAACAGCTGATTTGAAATGACAGAAGAACGAGTGAAATGGAAGATAGCTTAGTAGAAATTACTCTGTTTGTAAAGAAGAAAGTAAAAAAGAATGAGGAAAAATAGAGACTCAAAGACATCATCAGGCATATCAACTAATGTGTAGTGAACATCCCAGAAGGAGAAAGAAAGAGAGGCAAGGCAGTTGAAGAAATAATGTCCCCAAACCTACTAAATTTGATGAGAAAAAAAAAATTACACATTCAAGAAGCTCAACAGACTCCTAGTAAAATCAACCCAAAGATATCCACACCTAAAGAAATTAAAAATAAAGAGAAAATCTTGAAAGTAGAATTTATAAAGTCACAAACAGGATGACAACAATATGTTTAATAGCTAACTTCTCATCAGAAACAATAGAGGCCTAAAAACAGTGTGATGGCATATTCAAAGTGCTGAAAGTAGAAGAAAACTTAACCAAATAGTTTATATGCATCAAAATTATAAAAATAAAGACATTTCCAGATTAACAAAGATGAAAGGAATTTGTTGCTAGTAGATTTGCCTTAAAAGAAGTTCTTTTTCTTATTTATAGTTTTACATATGTCTTCTTTTTCCCCGGTTGACACCCACCCCCCGCCGCCCACAGCCATTCCCACCCTGGGCAAGCCCCCATCGCCCCAGTGTCTGTGTCCATTGGTTATGCTAATATGCATGCATACAAGTCCTTTGGTTGCTCTCTAACCCTCCCACCCCCATCTGCCCTGCCACTTGTCTCTGGATCTATTTTTGTTCATCAAATTATGTTGATAATTATATCCCACATATGAGTTAGATCACGTAATATTTATCTTTCTCTGACTGGCTTATTTTGCTTAGCATAATGCTCTCCAGTTCCATCCATGCTGTTGCAAATGGTAAAAATTCCTTCCTTTTTATAACAGCATAGTATTCCACTGTGTAGATGTACCACAATTTTTTAATCCACTAATCTGCTGATGGGCACTTAGGTTGTTTCCAAATATTAGCTATTGTAAATTGTGCTGCTATGAACATAGGGGTGCATATATCCTTTCTGATTGGTGTTTCTGTTTTCTTGGGATATATTCCTAGAAGTGGGATTACTGGGTCAAATAGGAGTTCCATTTTTAAAATTTTGAGGAAAATCCATACTGTCTTCCACAGTGGCTACACCAGTCTGCATTCCCACCAGCAGTGCACACGGGTTCCTTTTTCTCCACATCCTCTCCAGCACTTGTCGTTTGTTGATTTGTTGATGATAGCCATTCTGACAGGTATGAGATGGTATCTCTCTCTTTTTTTTTTTTTGATATCCATCTCTCAGATGATTAGTGACTTTGAGCATGTTTTCATATGTCTCTCGGCTTTCTGTATGTCCTCTTTCAAAAAGTGTTTATTTAGGTCCTTTGCTCATTTTTTGATTGGATCGTTTATCTTCCTTTTGTTAAGTTGTATGAGTTCTCTGTAAATTTTGGAGATTAAACCCTTATCTGAAATAGCATTGGCAAATATGTTCTCCCATGCAGTGGGCTTTCTTATTGTTTTGTTGATGGTTTCTTTTGCTGTGCAGAAGCTTTTTATTTTGATGTAATCCCATTTGTTTATTTTCTCCTTAGCCTCCACTGCCCTAGGAGCTGTGTTGGTAAAGATATTGCTATGGCATATGTCTCTATTTTGCTGCCTATGGAGTCTTGTAGGATTTTTATGGTTCCCTGTCTTACATTTAAGTCCTTTAGTCCATTTTGAGTTTGTTTTTGTGTCTGGTGTAAGTTGGTGATCTACTTTCATTTTTTTGCATGTATCTGACCAAATTTCCCAGCACCATTTATTGAAGAGACTGTCTTGACTCCATTGTATGCTCTTGTCTCCTTTGTCAAATATTAATTGAGCATAATGGCTTGAGTCGATTTCTGGGTTCTCTGTTCTGTTCCATTGGTCTATATGTCTGTTCTTGTGCCAGTACCAGGCAGTTTTGAGAACTGTAGCTTGGTAATGTAGCTTGATATCTGGTATTGTGATCCCTCCAACTTTGTTCTTCTTTCTCAGGATTGCTGCAGCTATTCGGAGTCTTTTTTTTATTCCAGATGAATTTTTGGAGAGTTTGTTCTAGATCTTTGAAATATGCTATTGGTATTTTAATGGGGATTGCATTAAATCTGTAGATTGCTTTGTGTAGTATGGACATTTTAATGATGTTGATTCTACCAATCCATGAACATGGTATGTTCTTCCATTTGTTTATGTCTTCCTCTATCTCTTTTTTCAATGTACTGTAGTTTTCCTAGTACAGGTGTTTTACCTCCTTAGTTAAGTTTATTCCTAGGTATCTTAATTTTTTTGGTGCAATGGTAAATGAGATTGCTTTTTTAGTTTCTCTTTTTGTGAGTTCCATATTGGTGTATAAAAAGGCCATAGATTTCGGGGTGTTAATTTTGTATCCTGCTACATTGCCAAATTCATTAATTAGGTCTAGTAGTTGTTTGATGGAGTCTTTAGGGTTTTCTATGTACAGTATCATGTCATCTGCGAATAAGGACAGTTTTACTTCTTTTCCAATTTGGATGTGTTCTATTTCTTCTTCTTGTCTGATCGCTATGGCTAGCACTTCCAGTAGTATATCGAACAGGAGTGGTGAAAGTGGGCATCCCTGTTTTTTTCCTGTTCTTAGGGGAAATGAGTTTAGTTTTTGCCCATTGAATATGATGTTGGCTATAGGTTTGTCATATAAGGCTTTTATTATGTTGAAGTATGAACCCTCTATTCCCACTTTGCTGAGAATTTTTATCAAAAGAAATTCTTTAGGCTGAAATGAAATGTAACCAGAGGGTAATGAGAATATACATTATATATATATAACATACATACTGATATATACATATATATATATATATATATATATATATATAAGCACACACACACACACACACACACACACACACATGCATATAAATGGTAAATATATTTTCAATCTTTTTTCCCTTAACTGATTAAAAACAATTACATAAAACTATTGTTGTGCTTATAACACAAAGATTACTCTATATTATAATAATTACACAAATAAAGGGCCAAGAAATGGAACTATAATGAAGCAATGTTTCTATATTTTTCTAGAATAGGTTAATATTAAGCTGAAGTAGATATTGATAAGTTAAGATATATATTATAATTCTTAGAACAACCACTAAGAAAATAACTCAAAATGTTATATAGTAGAAATTCTAACAAAGGAAGTAAAATGGAACACTATGACATATATGACATATTTATTTAACTAAAAGGGAGACAGTAAAGGAGGAACAGAGCTGAAGAAAGACATGAGATATATAGAAAACAACAATGGCAGATGTAAATCTGGTCATATCAGTAACTAAATTAAATATGACTGGATTAAACATTCCAATAAAAGGGTAGATAATGTCAGGCTGGATTAAAAAACAAACAGATACAACTATATGCTTTCTATAAGAGACATACTTTAGATTTAAAGACACAAATAGATTGAATATAAAATTATGGAAAAGTATATAATACTTTGCAGGCAGCACTCCCAAGAAAGCTGGAATGCCTATACTCATATTAGGCAAAATAGACTTTAAGACTAAAAGTATTTATTATAGACAATGAGGGACATTTCATTGTAATTAAAAAGGATAATTCATCAGGTATATATAACAATTATAAGCATACACATCTAACAACAGGACTTTAAGATACATGAAGCAATATGCTTTCTCTTTAGATCATTTAAATATTTTACCTTTTGCTAAAGATTTCTGTGGAGAGGAACAACGCAGTGGTTACAAAATAATCATGGGCATATAAAGTACGGCATAGAAAATACTGTATAGTCAATAATATTGTAATAACTATAGCTGGTGTCAGTTGGGTAATTGAAATATCAGGGGAATACTTTGTAGAGTATGTCTAACCACTGTGCTGTATACCTGAAACAAATCCTATATAATAAACCCTAATATGCAAATCGACCGAACGGCGGAAGGACTGGTTGCTATGACGCGCACTGACCTCCAGGGGGCAGATGCTCAATGCAGGAGCTGCCCCTAGTGGTCAGTGTGCTCCCACAAGGGGAGCGCCGCTCAGCCAGAAGCCGGGCTCATGGCTGGCGAGTGCAGCGGCAGTGGCAGGAGCCTCTCCCACCTCTGCGGCAGTGCTAAGGACCCCTCGGGGGATGTCTGCCTGCCGGCTTAGGCAGATGTGCTAAGGACCCTTTGGGGAGCAGGTCTAAGCCGGCAGGTGGACATCCCCCAAAGGGTCCCGGACTGTGAGAGGGCACAGGCCGGGCTGAGGGAGCCCTTTCCCAGTGCATGAATGTCGTGCACCAGGCCTCTAGTACAAAATAATATTGAATGTAGACTATATTTGAAAAATAAAATAAAGATACTTGAAGCACAAACTTACAGAATTGAAAGGAAAAATAATCAACAATAATAATTTAATACCCTACTGTCAATAGCTGATAGAATACCTATGCTGAAAATCAACAAGAATATAGAAGAGCAGAACAAACTATTAACCTACTTGATCAGATTGACATCTATAGCACACACCACCAAACAACAAAAGAAGACTTTTCTTAAAGCTCACACAGCACATTCTCAGAATAATTATATGCTAGGCCATAAACCAAGCCTCTAAATTTAAAATAATTAAAATAATACGAAGTGCCCTAACTGGTTTGGCTCAGTGGATAGAGTGTCAGCCTGTGGACTGAAAGGTCCGGGGTTCGATTTCCGTCAAGGGCATGTACCTTTGTTGCGGGCACATCCCCAATAAGGAGGTGTGCAGGAGGCAGCTGATCGATGTTTCTCTCTCATCGATGTTTCTAACTCTCTATCCCTCTCCCTTCCTCTCTGTAAAAATCAATAAAATATATTTTAAACAAATAATAATACGAAGTATGTTTATGTTCTCTAACCTTAGGAATCAACAATAAAAACAAATTTGGGAAATTGCCAAATATTTGGAACTTAACACATTTCTGAAAAACCTATGGGTCCAAGAAAAAAAAAGATTACAAGGAAAATTAAGAAATATTTTGAACTCAATGAAAATGAAAACAGAACATATCACCATTTTGGGATACAATTAAAGCAGCACTTAGGTGGAATGTATACCTTAGAAACCTATATTTGCAAAGAAGGAAGATTTCAAATGAATAACCTTAAGCTTAAGATAGTAAGGGGGGAAAAAAGCAAAAGGAAAGAAATAAAGATTAGAGCAGAAATTAATGAAATATAAGACAGAAAAGCAATAGAAAAAGCAATAAACCAAAAGTTTGTTTGTCCTTTGAAAAGATCAACAAAATTGATAAACTGTTACCTTGGCTGATCAAGAAAAAAAGAAGGGGACAGAAATTACCAACCTCAGGAATGAAAGAGGAAGTGTCTCTACCAACCCTACAGAAATTTAAAAGATTATGAAAGAATATTTTGATGAACTTTGCCAACAAATTGGGCAACTTGGATGGAGTAATATAGTCCGTTTACCAAAACTGTTTCAATGGAAAATCTGAATAGACCTAACAAGCAAGTAAATTGAATTAGTAATTTAAAATCTTTCCACAAAGAAAAGATGGCTTAATTGGTGAAATCTATCAAATATTTAAAGATATTATTATAGTCTTTCACAAACTTCCAGGAAATCAAAGAAGAGGGTAGAGAATACTTTTCAGCTCATTCTATGAAGTATTACCCTGATAACCCAAGCCAAAGATGTCATAAGAAAAGAAGACTACAGGCCAATGACCCTCATGAATCTAAAAGTAAAATTTTCAGCAAAAATGTTAGCTAATTGAATCCAGCAACATATAAAATGGATTAAACGCCATGATACAGTAGGATTTGTTCCAGGAGTTCAAGGTCGGTTTGACATCTGAAAATCAATTATTGTAATACACCATGTTAATAGAATCAAAGGCAAAAATCACATGATCATCTCAGACAGAAAAAGACATTTGAAAGAATTGAACATCCATTCATGATAAAAACTCAACAAACTAGGGATAGAGGGTAATTTCCTAAACCTAATAAAGGGAATCTGAAAAACTATAGACATTTCATCCAGGAAGATGTAAAAATGGCTAATAACTACATGAAAAGATACTCAACAGTATTAGGCATTAAAGAAATGAAAATTAAAGCCATAAGAAGATAGATAACATCTCACACTACCAGGATGCTTGTTATAAAAATAATGGGCAGAGAAGATCATTGGTGAGGATACAGAAAAACAAGGGGTAATGTGAAAAGTGAGGCAGTTTCTTTTTTAAATAAAGTAAAATAAACTTAGCATTCACCCCAGCAATTCCTCCTAGGTACCTATAGTGTCTTAAGGCAAAGGTGAAAATTTATGTCCACACATGGATTTGTATATGAATGTTCATGAAGCATTATTTATAATAACCAAAAATTGGAAACAGTTCAGATACCCAGCAGTCAATAGATGGATAAACAAAAAGTGGTATATCTGTGTAATGGAATTCCATTTAATATCTACACTAATAAAAGACAAAGATGCTAATTGACTGTACCTTTGCTATCCCCTAAGCCACACCCACCAGCCAATCAGAGCAACTATATGCAAAATAATCCAACCAAGATGGTGGCCAGCAGCCACGGAGCTGGAGCAAGCAGAAGCTTGGTTGCCCCAGTGATAGAGGAAGCCAAGCTTCCTGCCAGTCCTGAGCCGACTGTGGCCTCCGCTAAAGGCAACAAAGTTTCAATTATAGAAGATAAACAAATCCCAGATACCTGCTTCCAGCCAGCCTCCTCTGGGAGCTTGGGTGGCTAGGGGTTGTGGCCACCCTGCAAACAGCCATCAGCCCCTCACCCAGGCTGGCCACACCCTCATGGGGTGAGGGTCCCCACTGGGGGGGCTTAGCCAGCCTGAAAACGGCCCTCAGCCCCTCACCCAGGCTGGCCAGGCACCCCAGCAGGACCCCCCCACCCTGAAAGGGCTGTGGCCAGCCTGAAAACTGCCATCAGCCACTCACCCTGACTGGCCAGGCACCCCAGCAGGACCCCCCCACCCTAAAGGGGCTGTGGCCAGTCTGAAAACGGCCCTCAGCCCCTCACCCAGGGTGGCCAGGCACCCAGCAGGGAGCCCTACCCTGAAGGGGCTGTGGCCAGCCTGCAAACAGCCATCAGCCCCTCACCCAGGCTGGCCAGGCACTCCTATATAATAAAAGGGCAATATGCAAATTGACCCTAACAGCAGAACGACTGTGAATGACTGGTAACTATGACACACACTGACCACCAGAGGGCAGATGCTCAATGCAGGAGCTGCCCCCTGGTGGTCAGTGCGCTCCCACAAGGGGAGCTCTGCTCAGCCACAAGCCAGGCTGACGGCTGCCAGTACAGCGGTGGTGGTGGGAGCCTCTCCCGCCTCCTCAGCAGCACTAAGGATGTCCGACTGCAGCTTAGGCCTGCTCCCCGCTGGCAAGTGGACATCCCCTGAGGGCTCCTGGGCTGCCAGAGGGATGTCTGACTGCCAGCTTAGGCCCGCTCCCTGGGGGATCGGGCCTAAGCCAGCAGGTGGTTATCCCCCGAGGGGTCCCAGACTGCAAGAGGGCACAGGTCGGGCTGAGGGACCCCTCTGAGTCCACAAATTTTTGTGCACATAGGCCTCTAATCCTATATAATAAAAGCCCAGTGACTGCAATGGTGGAACGACCACGGCCCCTAGCCCCAGTTGGCCCCTCCCCCCAGAGAGCTGTTAGGGGCGATCAGGCAGGCAGGTGAGTGGTTAGAGGCGATCATGCAGGCAGGTGAGCAGTTAGGAGCCAGCGATTCCAGATTGTAAGAGGGATGTCCGACTGCCAGTTTAGGCCCGATCTGCGGGCCTAAACAGGCAGTCGGACATTCCCCGAAAGGTCCCGGATTGCAAGAGGGTGCAGGCCGGGCTGAGGGACGACCCCCCTCCCATGCATGAATTTCATGCACCAGGCCTCTAATTTAGTATAAAAAGAGACATCCAGTATAAACCACAACCTGGATGAACCTCAAAAACATGCTAAGTAAATGAAGTCAGACTCAAAAAGACTACATGTTGTACGATATCATTTATATGAAATGCTCAGAAAAGGCAAATATAAAAAGAAAGAACTCAAGAGTAGTGGTTGTCACAATCTGGGAATGAGGGTTGATTGAAAATGGCATGAGAGATTATTTTAGGTTGGTAGAAATGTTCTCAGACAGGATTGTAGTGATGGTTGCACAATTCGATAAATTTACTAAAAGTATTGAATTACACACTTACGATGGGTGAATTTTCTGTTATGTAAATTATACCTCAACAAAACTATTAGAAAAAACAGATGTTATTTTATGGGAAATTTTCAGGGTTTTCTAAATTGTCTTGAGAGATTATTCTGTATATAAACCTAAACTGTGACTTATATGTCTGAGCACTTAAAAGTTTTCATTATTTGGCCTCTTTCATAGAAATACACACACACACACACACACACACACACACACACACACACTCCTATGTAAACTGAATGCACAGGTTATTTCTACTATTGGATCTTGCTGACAGACTTGGTCCCACATATTTTTAGTTTTGACATTCATTAAAATATAATTTCTTTAGTGTAAAATGTCTTAAAGGCTTTTAAATGTGTATATATCTCTTTTATTAGATTTTATACTTTTAAGGAAATAATCCAGATAGTAAAGGTACAAGCTAATATTTTAATTATATGAAAAACTAGAGGCCCGGTACACAAAATTTGTGCACTTGGAGGGGTGTCCCCTCAGCCCAGCCTGCACCCTCTCACAGTCTGGGAGCCCTCGGGGATGTCCGACTGA